TATTTCTTTATTCAATTTGCATGGCAGTCCATCTCACCAAGTGATTCTGGGTGGTGAACAAATTTTTAAAAAAATTACAATTAAAAACTAAACTCAATTAAAAATTAAAATTTCTTATACTCTTGTGTTTAACTGGTTGTTAATGAACAGTAGTTTCATAAACAATAGATGCCTTGTTTCTGCTCGTGTGTGAAAAAGAATGAACTTCTATTTGCAGCATGGTAACAAAGTTCTACCAGCATGCACTTGCCCTGGCCTTTGCTGTGAAGGAGATCAATGAGGACCCCCAGATCTTGCCCAACGTTACTCTTGGGTTCCACATCTATGACAGCTACTACGATGCAAGGATGACCTATCGGACCACACTGGACTTACTTTTCAAATCAACTGGCTTTCTCCCCAACTACAAATGTGCCAAACAGAGGAACCTGATAGCCATCCTTGGAGGACTTGGTTCTGATACCTCTTTTTATATGGCAGACATCCTGAGTCTCTACAAGATTCCACAGGTAGGATTTTTGCATTATAATATATGGAAATTACTTTTTTTTTTCTCACCTTAAAATGCTGGTGCTTCCAAAGGAGGGAAGGCTGTCAATGGACTAGAAATGATAGCTGACATTCCATTATGCACCAACAATCTGGGGGGAAAAAAATCCCAAAGAATCAGTGACTGTAGTTCTCCATGCATTGACAAATTGCTTTAAAATCATAGCAAGATCAGACATATGGAGATAAAGATGCTCTTGTTTTTAAAAATTAAGATTACATTTGTACATTCCATTTTAGCTTGCATATGGAGCACTAGTCCCTGAGAAGATTTATTACACTCTGGTCCCATCGTTGTATTCCATGGTCCCAAATGAAGCCCGACAATACTTTGGGATCCTTCAGTTGCTGAAATATTTTGGATGGACATGGATAGGGCTCCTTGTTCATGACAATAGCAATGGAGAAAAATTTTTGGAGACCTTGGAAGCTTTCCTTTTCCAGAATGGAATCTGTGTAGCTTACAGAGAAAGAATTCCACAGCGAATCCGTTTGGATAACATTGAAGAAATGATTGATATAGCACCATCTATTCATGCATCTTTAATTGATCACAAAGCCAATGTCTTTATCATCTATGGAGAATCAGTGACAATGGCACAGCTGAGAACCATTCTATTCTTGCTTGACCCCAGAAATAAAGAAAAAGATTCATTTAGAAAGATCTGGGTCATGACAAGTGGAATTGATTTCACACTACCGTGTCTTCAAAGGAGTTGGGATCTTGAGTTATTCCAAGGTGCCATTTCCTTTATATTTCACTCAAGAGAACTTCCAGGGTTCAGTAAATTTCTTGAGGTCATAAAACCTTCTGAGACCCAAAGTTGGAGCTTCCTTAAGGAGTTTTGGGAGCGAGCTTTTGACTGTATTTTTCCAAATCCTGATATGGAAACAGAGGATAATGAAATGTGTAGTGGAGAAGAGAAGTTGCAGGATCTCCCTGGGCCTCTGTTTGAAATGAGAACCACTGTATATAGCTACAGTATCTATAATGGTGTTTATGCAGCAGCATATGCGTTGAAGGCCATGTTCTCATCTCAGTCGCACAAGAGATCCATCTTGAGGATTAAAGCTGCTGAATCTTTTGAAGTGCAACCTTGGCAGGTAATGGTAACACAACAGAACATTTTTATTTCAATGAACAGATTGAGTTTTGTCTTCAGCTATTTCCCTGATTAGCTGAACATTTAGCTGGTCTTTTCATAGAAACTTGTGACTACATGCAGTTTCCTGTATTTGGAGCCTGAAATAATGATCTCTTCTGCAAGGTGAAATGATATGCCCATTTTCTATATCAGGTTAGCTCTTGTATTTACTGGGAATTGGAACTCAAGAGAGAGGGAGAAATGAGGATCCTACTGGCTGAACTATGGAACAGTGCAGGAATTGGACATTGTTCTTAGTTCTTGCACATGAAGTAGGGAACAAGATTTTATCAAGATCTATTCCATATTGGGCTTCACCCCTTGAAAAACCTAAAACTACTCTTTAAATAACTTTTGGTAACTTCTAAATATCTTGTCTTCTTTAGAGGCAAGAGAAGGAGAAGAAATTTGCCTGAGACCCATTTGAGTTCTTTGAGGCTCAAGGTCATGATATTTTTTGATAAAATTTAATGATTAGACTGAGTGAAGTAGAACATTGTCACCATAATTTCAAGAACTGAAGTCTAATCCTTTGTTAGCCCCTTTTGTTTTCTTTCTTCTAAGTGATATATGCTTTTTCCCCTTGTCTTTCTACGAGCTCCACCCATATCTTGTTAGGATTTCTTTCAACAATTCGGCTGGTGAGACAGTGTCCTTCAATGAGCAAAGGGAAAAGAGAGGTGGATTTGACATTGTGAACATGGTCAGCTTTCCAAACAGGTCCTTTGAGAGGGTGAAAATTGGATGGCTAGATCTAGATGCACCCCATGGAGAAGAATTCACAATTAGTGAGAATATGATTTTGTGGCACACAGCTTTCAATCAGGTGGGCATTCTGGTGGATTCTTGGAGGAACCCCTTTCTCCAGATGGGTCCCTTCTCCTTCTCCTTCTCCTTCTCCTTCTCCTTCTCCTTCTCCTTCTCCTTCTCCTTCTCCTTCTCCTTCTCCTTCTCCTTCTCCTCCTCCTCCTCCTCCTCCTCCTCCTTCTCATTATTAATTTTCCCCATTCAATTTTGTCTGATTCTCAGAGACTACCTGGAGAAATCCCTGAAGTTTTCTTGGCAAGGTTTTTCAGAAGTGGTTTCCCATTGTCTCCTTCCTAGGGCTGGTGGTTTAGTGCCTAGGCAGGACTAGAACTCACAGTCTTCTAGTTTCTAGCCTTATGTCTTAACCATTATACTGAACTGGCTCTCTTCTTGTGTGTAGAGTGATATTTATTGTATTTATATCACTGTACATCACTTGCTGAATGATTATTGATATTTACCTCACATCAAATCAAGTCCAGACTGAGCACAGGTAGCATTGCCATGTTTGAAGGATCTTAGGCGGCAATTCCAGCAGTTCTTCATAAATTCCACTTGCTTCATTGCCTCTACTTTCTCTTTTCCCCAGTTCCAAATTTTGCTTTCTCATTGGCTTTCACCCTTTACCCTAAATAATAATATTTTATGGTATTTACTACAAAACCTTGGCAGTCAGATCAAATATGCCATAAGGCTGAATTTGAGTCACTGCCGGTGACCTCTCAACCTCTCTCTTTTTGTTGGTGCTGGGGGGTGGGGAACCAGTCTAAAACCCATTTGTACCCCATTAAAGTAACAAATGCAAAGGATGGTGCTGTGTTCACCTTCTAGGCTTGTGATCAAGACTCTTGCAGCACCTTTGCTTCTACTTTCAAATATTGGATGGGGGAGATGGGCAGCCTATAAATTTAATGATAAATAAATAAAATAAAATATTGACTGCAAGATTCAAGGATCAGACTGCTGCACCCTATTTCTGAAAATGTTATGATTTCTGTATATAGCCTTTTGTGTCTTGCTCAATCATTGGGAAGCTGTGTAGAGACATCTGGGGTACGTTTTTCTCATGCCAGC